CCCCTCAGCCTCCTCTTGGTCAAACTGAACAGACCCAGAGTTCACCACAGATGAAAAATTCTGCCAGGTTAACTCTTGCTCTGCTCCCCACAGAGGCAGTGCCTGCAACAAACCTTCTAAGATTGCACCTCCCAGGGTCTATCAGGGAGAAGAGCAAACTGAACAGACCCAGAGTTCACCACAGATAAAAAAATTCTGCTAGGTTAACTCTTGCTCTGCTTCTAACCTTCTAAGACTGCACCTCCCAGGGTCTATCAGGGAGGAGAGTCTTTGAACGCTTAGCTGCACGGTTAGAGACTAAATAAGATATTATAAATCCTAACAAAGCCACAGAACGAGAAAATGTTGGCCCCAAGAGCTTGGAGCTCCAAAGTGAACAGCTGGACTACTAACACGAGGTATAAGCTCTGACTTAAACCTGCCTAGGGAGAGGAGGAAGATGGGAAACATCTTGATCCTGAAAAAGAAATCCAAAGCAGGCAGGAGGGACTCCAGAGTGGTGGCCCTGACACCACGCACATCAGAAGAAACAATTCTGAAGAACACGAGGAACGAACACGGGGACATTGGTCCTACAGAATCACAGAACCATAGAACTGTCAGGGTTGGAAGAGACCTTAAAGATCATCCAGTTCCAACTCCCCACCATGGGCAGGGACAACCCCCACTAGACCAGGCTGCCCAGAGCCCCATCCAGCCTGGCCTGAAAAACTCCCAGGGATGGGGCTGCCACCCCCTCTCTGGGCAACCTGTGCCAGGGTCTCACCAGCCTGTTCCAGTGTCTCACCAGTGGTGAGACACTGGTCCTGCCGCAGAAGAATCAAGAGCTATTAGAAATCAAAGTCTAATTTGGTGACATTTTTGAAGGGAGTCTGGAAGCAGACAGAAAAAAAAAATACTTTTGCCCCGCTTGGTTGCCCGAAGATATTTCACAGAGTCTTTCAACAAAGCCTCTCAAAGAAATGGTGATAAAAAGAAGGACCAACACGGGTGAACACCCAGCTAAATAATGAGGTGGCAAAAAAAAGTCAGTTTTACCAGGGAAAGAAAAATCGTTGTAGTGCTGCAGGAATCTGTGCTATTAAGATACTCATAAAACTAAGCTTCACAGACCAGAGGTCCTTTTATGTTTAAAGGTGGAGGGCAAACACTTTTGTTCTGAACAACTTGCCTTTTGACCTCTAGGAACTAAGTATTCTATCTAAATACCAACGAACCTCTCCGCTCCCCCTTTGGCTGCTAAGCAAGCTTTCCGAAAGTAGATCCTCCTGACTTTCCACAGCCTGATGGGATGGGTTGTGGAGAGCGAAATGACTCCATAAAGCCAACAATCTAGTACATCGCAATGAAAACTAATGTTGAAGTCAAGGCCACTTGTCCCAACATCCAGTGAGCCCAGTGCTTGTCGCTCCCAACTGGCAAAAGCCTCAAAAAGAAATTGTACAGGTCCTTCAGCGCTGCGGGGCTGTGTGTTTGTTCCCTGCCTTATGCCCACTCCAGGACTTCGCACCTCCTGCCTTGTTGTTTTTATTTTTTATCATGCTTTTTCCACTTTTACTACATATTTTTGGAGAGAAAGAACTGAAACATCACACGATATTCACAGTCAGGGTGCACCACAAATTCACACAGCTACAGAATTATTTTTGTCCTCTGGCTTTCCCCTAATAAACCCTGGCTGTTTGTGTTTTCTTTTTTCTGCTTGCTACCAAAAAAATAAGCTGACATTTCTGTGCAATGATTCATCATAACCCAAAGACTTCAGTCCTTCCTGAACGGTGTCTTCTTCCCAGCCATTTCTGAACACCCTCAACACCACAGACACTTACCAGCACGCACCCAAGTCTCTCTAGAGTCTCCTCCTCCCAAAGGGACAATCTCTTACCCACTCATTCTCTTTCTTTTAAACAACTCGTAATCCACGTCAGACACGTGTTCTCAGCCTCTGCCTCCCTTAGTTTGCAGCAAGGAACTTCTCAAACACCTTTTGGACTTTCAAGACACACAGACAGCAGCCCAAGAATCCTACCTACGTGTCTGCTGGCTCCTCTTTGCAAAATCCACGTCCTATTCCCCCATGTGCCCGATGCATGGAGAAGGACTTGGGGGTGTTGAGAGACGAGAAGCTCAATGTGAGCCAGCAGGGCGCTCGTGCAGCCCAGAGGCCAACCCTGTGCTGGGATGCACTAAGAGGAGTGTGGCCAGCAGGGCAAGAGAGGGGATTCTCCCCCTTTGCTCTGCTCTGTTGAGCCCCCATCTCGAATCCCATGTCCAGTTCTGGTGTCCCCACCATGAGCGGGACATGGAGCTGTTGGAACGAGTCCAGAAGAGGCCACAAACATGATCCAGGGGCTGGAGCAGCTCTGCTGTGAGTTCAGGCTGAGGGAGCTGGGGGTGTTCAGCTGGAGAAGAGAAGACTCTGGGAGGACCTTATCACTTTTGACAAGAGTGTCCAGTAATGAGACAAGGGGAAAAGGATTTAAATTGAAGGAGAATGGGTTTAGATTGGATCTTAGGAAGAAATTCCTCAGTGCGAGGGTGGCCAGACTCTGGAACAGATTGCCCAGAGAGGCTGTGGCTGCCCCCTCCCTGGAGGTGTTCAAGGCCAGGTTGGATGAGGCCGTGAGCAACCTGGGCTGGTTAAGGGCGTCCCTGCCCATGGCAGGGGGTTGGACTGGATGATCTCCAAGGTCCCTGCCAACCTCAGCCATCCTAGGATTCTCTGATCTACCCTTCAGTAGTGCTTCTAGGGGTTTGTCCAAGCCAGACATTCAAGGTTCTCTCAGCCCACCACTGCCTCAGTCTCTTCTGAAACCCTGCCTGAAACCTGGCACCCTACACACCACCTGTCTTCCCCTTCTCTTGACCCAAGGCAGTTTGAAGAGAAATTTTTGTTCCATGACAAGATCAACCTCCTCTTTTCTCCTTGAGCTGCGTTAAGATTCTGGGTAAACAAGACTTTCTCCACTTCCCCCCCACCTATTTATTCCAGTGCTTCTTTGCCAGATGTTTCCATTTCAGACACAGCTCACAAGTCCCTCCCAAAGAAGTGTCCCAGCATGACAACCTACCTGATTGCAGAGGCAAAGAACCTTATTTGACATGGTCTTAACTTCCTCAACACCACAGTCCTCTACAGGCCCTACCAACTCTCTGGCAGGCCTTATTTTCTTGAAGAAAGGTATTTTTTTATTATTCTTCCCCTCCCAAGAGCTTCTGCTAGTTGCTTTTCAAAGGTTTTGCTGGTTGTCCTGTACTATCCACAAATAAGTGAATAGGAAGCTAGCAGAAAACAAGAACGATCTCATCTCTGCATCTAAGT